TTCTTTATCACTTTCGTTATCTGTCTGTGAATTTGGTTCAACTGGACAGAGCTCATCCATCTTATTTGTTGCAGCCTCCAATTTTCTAGTAAGTTCCTTGCGACAAGTTGGGCAGATCTTCCCAGGAATGATAGATATGTTGATGCTATTAAAATCCTCAGCAATGTTCAGAGACACCTCCCGCAGTGAACCTTTGACTGGTTTTTGTTGCTTATTAAATGGGTTGCAGATATATGAGATATGGCGAGATATGAGAGATATGGCGAGAGATAGAGACGTTTGGCGTGGAAAAATTCATGGACCGGTCAACCCCCCTAGCGGGATTAATACTGGCCGGTATATAAATGTTGTTTGTTTGTTTGTTTGTTGTTGTATTAAATGGGTTGCAGCAGCTTCTTTGATGGTATGAATATCTTCAAAGAATTAACTGCTCATGATGGAGACAAATTTCATGATCAGGGCTGGTTGAAATTCCTGTTCTCATTGATATCAATTTAACGTGCTCTGCTGTTAGATCACTGAACAATCTTAGGTCAGTTGACCGGGTATGAACAGCTAAGTGACACCCTTTTTTAAGATGATTTCCGTTAGAACACTTCTTCAAGTTTTCTGTTAAAGACATTCTTTTTTGTAAGAGAAAATAGAGACTTGAGAGTAAAGTAAATAGTAATTGTAGAGCAGCAAACGAGTAAAACACGTGTAATGAAGTTTTGGATTGTGAAACTTCAAACACTTGTGTCAGTGCTTTGTATTTAATTGCGATATACTTCATGTATGAAAGTTATTGTGTACCACCATACAGAAATTAAAAAAAACCATTGAAATATTACAAAAAACCAGATTTTTTGCCATATTCCAGCAGAATTTTTAGGAAATTTCAACACTATCTTTGTTGGCAAATTTTTCAGCAAGTAGAAGAGACACCAAGCCAAAACTTGGTGAAATTAATCCTCATTATATATTCATATACCACACCAAAAATGGGTTTCGTCCTACTTTGCCAACATGGATAATTTTCGGTTTGTAATTTGATCCTTTTATAAAACACTTGAGAAAAACGACGATTTTTTTGAGAGCAAACATGTTTCGACATTATCAGAATGCCATCTTCAGTGCAGAATGGTTAGTGTTAAGTAATATGATACGTGATATGAATAAATTAATTACAATGAATAGGATTATGATTCAGTTACTAAATATAAAATATTTACAAAAAAGGAAAAGAAAAATAAGTATTAAGAACTTATAACAAATTTATAATAATATTTTTTGTTATAAGTTCTTAATACTTATTTTTCTTTTCCTTTTTTGTAAATATTTTATATTTAGTAACTGAATCATAATCCTATTCATTGTAATTAATTTATTCATATCACGTATCATATTACTTAACACTAACCATTCTGCACTGAAGATGGCATTCTGATAATGTCGAAACATGTTTGCTCTCAAAAAAATCGTCGTTTTTCTCAAGTGTTTTTTGAAATTGCTGCTAATTAGAAATTATGATCCTTTTATGCTTTCGGGATATATATATACCATTGTTTAACATAGAAAATATGCATTTCTTTTCAAGTAATGATATTTTTGACCTCATATTCTGATTCAGCAAGTCTTAAAATGCTATATCACCAGTTTTCTTGTCTATAGAGTTAAAGGATAGAAAACGACAGTTGAAATACCATACATTTTTGTGTACCACTTGTAAAGAATGCTATAACTGACACCGATATTGGTGGAAAATTGAAAAACCAATATCTCAGGAACAAATAAAGATATTGAGCTCAAATTTGGTGTGCTTTCATATCTCACTTAAACTTCCAATTGGTGCAATTTTGGTTAAAATCTGGGATGGGTGGGTGACATTTTGAATTTCTATTGTTGACTTCACATGGAATGACCCTTTGGGTAATAATCTGCTGGAAAAACACCTTTGAATTTTTTTTAATGTTGTTATTATTTCTCAAATAAGTTCAGTTATCAGTTGTTAAAAACTTTTCCAACATACAATTTATATCCATTTTTTATATATCATATGCTTTACTTTTTCTCAATGATTGTTGCCAAGAAAATGTAAAATAAGGATGGGGTGTAGAAGTTCCTAAACTTGAAGATGGTACTGGAGTTAATAAT